TAATTCCTCAAATCATGATTTTTGAAGTTAATTTGATAGATATTTTTAATTGCATGGATTATTGGGTCATATTTTTCTGCTATTTAGCCTTAATATTGTAGACTTTTTTTCAGAAAAGGAAGTGCAAACAAGCGCATACAATAGCAATTCTTCTTCAACTATAAATGGGCAACAATTTCTAAATAGCAAGGAAGCTGAATGACTGTATGGGTATGGATAGCTCTTTCATGGGCTCTGCTCAGTTCGTATGTTGTAACTTGTGTCGAGCCATTGCAAGTGAATTTAACAAAGCCAGCGAACAAAATTGACAAAAATATACACGATTTAGTTGCACGTTTCAGCTTGGAGTTTGGTACTATTTCAACTGTCAATTCGACCTCGAACTTTGAAAGGTTCAAAACCTATCTGTCTCATGTTTGCTCACTCTATAATTTTGTATACGCAAAGGTTTTCATCATAACTTAATAACAAATTATAATTTAGGTTTTGGAAATCATTGTTTTTTTATCAGGAAGCAGTGCGCGCTAACACTCTCGGACAACATTTCGACGGCCATTTTTAACCACCAAATTAAACAGAGTATATAAATAAAATAACACCCGAAATAAAGTTTTTTGTTACTTAAATCTTATCTTTAAGTTTCTTATAATAGCTGAAAGTAACAAAAACATATAAATTTTACACAAGTAATATTTTATAAAGCAATTGTTTCAGCATACCTTCTGATGGGTCATATACGCGTAGCCATATTTGTTTACAATTAGAACGTTTTACCCCCCGCGAAGCCCGCATCACGGATGGTCCGCTCGATGTATGGCCGTTTCTACGCCCTCTCTCCCTTCGCCCTGGTTAGAATAAGACCTCAGATCATAAGTTTGAAGATTTTTAGGAGGTACTAAGGCATTCGATAGAATCTGAACATCAGGTTGTTGCAGCCGCCCATGCTGTCTGCCGCTTGGAAATAAGAGATTTTATTCAAGGCTTGTCACTAGAATCGATTTTGATTTGTTTCCAAGGCAAATGGGTGCAATGATGGTGGAAAAATACTGGAACTGCTCGTCACAAGATTCCATATAGTGCAAAGGTATAACCAATTAACTTTCGACAGAGATCGCCAACAATTCGACGATTGATTGGGCGAGAGTCTCGTACTAAACGTGTAGACCTTGTGCCACCATAAGAGTTAGCTGGGAGAGGTTTAAGAACGATGGAATTATGATTGGAATGTCCAATTGGAGAAAACGCCAGGGCAGAATTATAAAATTTAGAAATGTTGGTAAATATTTTATCTAAAATATTCTTTCCTCTAGTGACGTCTTTGACTAACTGCTTGAGGTTAAAGGAACTGCTAAAAGATGTTTAAATTGGTTAAAATCTCCAGCTAAAATAATTCCTGCACCGGGATTAGTGGAAAGGACAGAATCAATTATCCTTAATCTCATTTACAATGACGAACTGATTACAACTAATCTTAAGAAGAGAACTCTCAAAAAACTACTAATCGACTCTTGTAATCGACCTTCAACGGTCTACTTTACCAACAAATTGATGGCGTGTCAATGGGAAGTCCACTTGGACCTACTTTTAGCTGACATTATAATGACTGAAGTAACTGAATTTGAAAACATAGTTATAAATTCTACGCTCGCTACACTTGTTCTCGCTAAACCTTATTTAATCTTTATTCTTTTGACCATCAAATACAATTTACTCATGAAATATTTACTGATAATAATGAGTCAGACGTATATTTTCTTGACATTAAAATCACACCTACTGGCACTGCTGTCTACCGCAAATCCACCCACACCGGGCAATACAGGTACGTCCATCTATCTAGCTTCACACCTTGGTGTAGGAAAACTGTTTGGCTACGTGCCCTTGCATGTATATCGTGCTTATAAAATCTGCAGTAACGATGAACTATTACGTAATGAACTCTCTATAATATTACTAAATTTGCTTCTTGGAACGGGTTTTCCAAACCACTTACTAATAAACTTTTAGAATCATTTACCCTTAAATTACCTAATAACCTATGTCAATGACGATGTTGTTACTGATCCTCCTACTAATCCACCCACCATCCGCATTCATCTACCTTTCATTGGTAAAAGAGGCAGCTCCCTTATTTACCACTGCACTAAGAAAATTAAATTAACCGTTTGCTAAAGCAACCTGCTGAATTCGTCACCCTATGGAACACCACTAACGCAAATGACTTCTTGAGTACTAAAGATCCTACGACAAAACAACACCATTGAAAGTTCTGTTGTCTACAAATTTACTTGTCTGGCTGTTCACATTCTTATGTTGGCAAAACAGATAGATGCCTTATCACTAGATTGAAGGAACATTCTGATTCGAAAGACTCTAAGATTTTTAGACATATCAATTCGTGTGAACACTTTAATAATTTTAATCCACTATTAGTTTTACCTTTTAACAACCCGGGACTACTACCTCATATTGTTCTTAACTGTAATTATTGATAAATCTATGAACTGATCGCTTCTACTATATAAAGAAGCTCTACATATCCACAGACAGAAACCTGAACTAAACCATGGGACTAAAGCGTCAAAAGAATTTGTTATCTTTAATTAGGACTTTGCATTAAAAATGTGAATTCTTCGGAGTTTCCATTGTATTGTATTTTACTGTGGTCACATGCAGTAGGAATTTTGCATAGGAATTTTGCATAGGCATTTAACTACAGTATATATGCAAAATCTCTACTGTGATCACAGAAACTTTGATGGCGTAAACCAGTCTTGTAAACCAGCCTCGTGTTACCACGATACCAATCTTACTGGATCATAGCCTGCGTAGCAGGCGTTTAGTGCGGGCGGGAGAAGAGAGGGCGTCGTTTAATAAACGCCTTCCCAAATGCCTATGACAAATGTGTTTTTGACCGAAGAAACTTCGGAAAAGCTTCCCATTGGTCAATCTCCTTAACGGAAGTAATTACGTAACTCAAATGTCAACAATAATTTTGCTCGCGTATCGAAAATATGCCGCCTGTTAATGCTTTCGAGGAAATTCTTTCTTATATTTCAAGTACTTAGGCTTCGGAATTCAGTTGAAACCAGAACAGAGAAAGTCTATTATTATTATTAATTTGTTATGTGGTAAAGACGCCGTTTATCGCGATTCTTCCTACGGAAAAGTTTGATCTTTCAACTTATACATTTATATCGGCAAATCAAAGCTTGCTCGAGCAGGGATCGAATATTTCTTATAGTTGTCTTGTTATTTGTCCACTTTATTCTTTAAAGTATAATCCAAGCCCAGATAATGCGAATTATACTAGGGCTGTTCCAGCCTGCAGGTATAATTTAGGTTATATGAGGGAACGAAGGGAGAAATATATGAGAATACTAGCGGTATGGCATTACCAATCTGTGCTTCACATCACATTTTAACCCAAAGAAATCTCTGGCAATAACCCCAACACCCCCCTGATCTGACCCGTCCCATAATCCTCCTGTGGCTTATTTAACCCTGAGATGAACTGGGCGGGTATAAGGGTGGGAATCATATATTTTTCCCTTCGTTCCCTCATATAACCTAAATTATACCTGCAGGCTGGAACAGCCCTAGTATAATTCGAATTATATTTCGGGAACTCCGGTCGAAATATATGAGAATACTAGCGGTAGAGTTTAACACTACAATGGTGAACCGCCAAAAAGAACTTTATTATTTAGCTCTGTAGATACAATAAGTCTAAAGACCTGTTTACAATTACTTTAACCCAACACGACCAAAGTTTGGTGTTGATACCATTGGTCTATAATAAAATTGTTTCGGTGAGGTATAATAAATGAAAGACACAACTTAGGTTGGTCCTTCATATAATTCTTCTAAATTCAACCGTCATTGAGATGTAATGTTGGAAACAAGCTATCAGACATAACCTTTTGTCATCTGGGAAACAAGTATAAAACGAGTTGTCTTTGTAGTCAACAAGGTGAACGTTAGGGATCTGGGTTTTGGAGGTCGATTGTTTAGAACACCTCTCATCAGGTTAACAACATATGGATGTTGTCCGACTAGATAACCGTCGATTCGTGGATGGGTTGATGACAAAGCCGATCTCAGAACATTCATGGTTCTATATTCCAAACCGGAGGCGAGTGAGTCCGCCAAAAAGGTAAGGACGTTGCTCAAAAAATTGATGAAATTGGATTAATTTGCCTTGTAGAACACGGCTCCAACGCTGCCAATTAGATTCGTAGGTTTTGCGTGTGGAACTACGAGTGGCTGAAAATGAGTAGTTTGCTAACGTTCGAGATGTGAAATACGCCCAAATGTACACGTGGGGTACATCGGTGAATTAAGGAAGGGTCGGTTGGATCCTTCAAGAGATGTTTGCTGTTTGGTAGCAGGACAGGTTAATTAATGTTGTACCAGAAGACTTAGTAGAAGAGGCCACCAACGCTGAGCTTGCCAAATTGGAGCTATCAAGAAGATCTCTGTCTGGTCCGACAAGACCTTTTGAGGACCATGGGGACCAAGTTGAAGGGAGGGAAAGCATAACCCGCAAGTCCCTTCCAGCTCACCGTGAAGGCATCCCAATGGTGAGCCTCCAGAAACTGCCTGGATTCGAGGTCTGTTTGAATGTCGATCTTCCCTGGAAGGTGGTGGGCTATGATAAATAAGTCTCTCTGCTTGCGCCAATCCCACAGTTATAATGTCAGCTCTAGTAATAGCAACGGGTGGTGCCCCCTTTGTGATTTATGTAAGTAACCGCGGTGGAATTGTCCATGTTCAATGACACTGTATTTAGTAGACTGAGAGAAACTTCTGCTTGGTTGTTTCGGGTCTTGGTTATAAATTTGGGGGGCCGTAGGAGCCAGATTTTTTGCTAAACCCCGTGATAGCTCGGCTTCCTTAGATGCAATTGAGGGAAAATCGTCTCCAAATAGCCATCGTTGAGCGTTTGGCAATGGCTGGTTTGCCAAATCAATTTTTGATTTGTTAATGGATGCAAGTACCTTCTTGCGGCGGAGTACCGATAATTGTGAGTTAGCCGAACCAACTAAACAAAGGGATTGTTCAACAAGCAACTTGAGCTCAGTAGGGCTAACAGGAAGGTTGTTTTCTAAACGGTCATGTAATGTGCTTAATGGGCCTGTGATGTTCAACATAGCACGTTGAACAACAGCGAGCTCTTTATCTCGCTCCTGCACAAACTTTTTATTTTGATATGAAACATGAGACAACATTGGTGGATCAAGAGTAGGAGCAACGAGGGAATCTACCTGAGGAATAGCTTGTTCCTCCAAAATATCACATATGTGATCAAAGGATAGTTTCCTTCGAAAATTTTTCTCTAAAAAATCCTTAAACTCCTGAGATGGAGACCACGATGTCGTAACAGCTTCGGGGTCGTATAAACCTGGCTGACCTTCGCTAGCGTTGCTGAGTTCAACTGATTGTTGTTTTGAAGGATCAATTCTGTCGCCACAAATATCATCGCTAGTGTTTAGCTGTACGGCAGAGTTTGGTGGCTTAATAGCCTGCTCTGATGGCTCAATAGCCTGCTCTGGTGGCTCAATAGCCAAATCCTCAAAATTTTCAGGATTGTCATTTCCCGCCAAAATCGAAAGCGTGTCGCCGTCCCGGCAAGGCTCTGGTTGTTTTTCTGAGTGAGAATGTGTCATATTCTCGCTAGTAAAGACATCTTCGAGCTGGGAAATTCTTCTATTACACACCTCCATGTTAGATTTAAGATCTGAAACTGTAGATGAGATGGCCCGAAGCTGGAGAAGCATTTCTTCGTCAATTTTGGCATGGTCTGACTGCTCTGTTGAGCTTGAAGACTTTTTAGACTTCGAAGAGCGATGTGTAGAATCGCGTGAATGAGATCTTTTTCGCTTGTGGTGACTCGACATTGTCTAAAAATATGCCTGCGTGTCTAAAACATATGAAAAACAATAGGAAAAAGCGTCAAAAAGCAAATATTTTAGCCTACCTGAAGCTTACCTGTTCGCGTGTGAAGCACAAGGTAAAAAAGCCACAGGAGGATTATGGGACGGGTCAGATCAGGGGGGTGTTGGGGTTTTTGCCAGAGATTTCTTTGGGTTAAACTGTGATGTGAAGCACAGATTGGTAATGCCATACCGCTAGTATTCTCATATATTTCGACCGGAGTTCCCGAAATATAATCGAGGCTACATCACTTAGCATTGCAGCTATGAAGTTGGACGATGATTCTAAGAATAACATTTCAAAACATGCTCAACTTTTATTTGCTATACGGCAGAATACGTGAAACAACCGTGGCTCAGGAGCCTTCAGTAAAAGATAAAAGCTCTGTGTTGTGACTGTTGTCTAAAATAGCTTCAAAAACTCATTAACAATAATTCATGAGGAGAACACAAAGAAAAATCATAAAGTGTCGTATCTTTATATGTGATAGAGATCTCCCTTGATTTACATAAACTTTAACTTTGATTTTCTCTACATACACAACGAATTTTTTGAAAGCTACTTCGCTAATGAACTTACTAGATTGATCGTTTTTGAAGCATTTTAAAACAATCGCAGTGCGTGTTTTGTCAGACCATCTTTATATCTGATAAAACACTGCTGCTCATGTTTAAATATAAAAGTACATAAAATGTCTGACAATCTCCACAGTTGCCGAGCAAAAAGCATGCATGATGCTAAATATAAATCTCGACTATGATTGGATAATGGGTGAAGGTGCTAATTACAAAACGTCAATCATCCTTAATGGGCGAAAACAAATTTGTCATATAGCACAAGAGGCCCAGGCTCGATTTGCCCGCGCCCGCCTGTGCCTTCCTTATAACGAGGGAAGGACGGAGACATTGAGACCAAAATAGCCCAGACTTGGCATATGTCACACGAAACTATCCTCGATTTTTCGCTTTTAATGCATATCATTCACGATTAATCGATATCCCCTGCAAGAATGATACCGTATAACTCTCAAAACAACGATGCTTTAATCAAAGAGCTTAAATTCGCTCTGAAATCCGTGAGGGAATAACAAAATTCGGCCAAAATATATCCGCGTGCCGGGTTTGCTGTGCAAAAAGCGGAAGTCGTTGAACAACTCAAAATACACTCAACCCTGATTGGAGAACGAATATCAACAAACATTACAATGTGAAATACAATTTATTATACATATTAACGTACTACAGTTATATTTACATGCAGTAATATTTACACTTTATAACGTTTGTGAATAGTTTTGATTGTATGATTAAAATTATTACAGTACTGTTAAAAAAATTTGAAATGTTTGTTGATATTCGTTGTCCAATCAGGGTTGAGTGTATTTTGAGTTGTTCAACGACTTCCGCTTTTTGCACAGCAAACCCGGTGTCACAGGAAATTTGGCCCCCCCCGAAAATTTGGCCCCCCCGGGCCATATTTCCTAGGACATTTGGCCCCCCCTTCGGAAATTTGGCCCCCTCGAAAACATAGTTTACTTTATCGCTATAAGCTCGGAAATCGTGAAGCTTCTTCTAAAACCAAGATCCTAAAAGTGTTTGTCAGTATTTATAGTTAGTTTGCATAATTTATTTGTGTCGAAATTCGTCATTGCGGCCAAGAGCTAAAAGTTTGAAGGAAAGCGTAAAAATAATAATGTCTAGTGCAGTCATGCCAGACACATCACACATGGGTATCTGTTGAGGACAACGTTAAAGCATAATGGCTTAGCTTTAAGCTAAGGACACGAAACGATTTTTAGAGATAGGAATTTCTAAGATATTACAAGTTATTTGGATCTATAAATTTAGTCACATATAGCATAAAATTAGTCAGAATAACAACCGCACTTTTATAGCAAACGATGACATCATGCGTTGGCGAATATGTTAATATCCACGCGTCTAATAAATAACAGTAGTCTAGGACCTGTATATGAGTTTGTATGCATTTCATTTAGGACAGATAATCTCAACTGTTTTAGGGTAAGTTGACCATGACGGTCAACATGGTAACGCTGCCCGAACCCCAATCCGGGGCGAAACGTCCGAAACTGACCACACCCAAAAACGACGCTTTCGCCATACTGCTATTACATTACATTACATACTTTATTGTGTTCCCTAAATAGGGATTTTCAACACTGATTTACAAAAAATAAATGTTGTTCTATTTACAAGTTTTAGAATCTAGAATTTAAATTAAGGTAAAAAGGTAAGACATTTGTATAAAGTTTAACAAGGTAAAATTATCTACTTATATATTTGTTCTAGCATGCTTCGCTTCAGTTCGTATTTGAAAGTTTTTAGGGAGTCTAACTTTTTGTACTTTATGTCCAAATCATTCCAGAGTGTAACGCCTCTATAATGAAAGGACCTTTGACCTGCAGAAGATTTGTACAATGGTATTTGCAGTGAGTCATGGCTACGTGTATCTCGTTGATGAATGTCAGAACGTTTTGTGAATAAATCGCTCAAATAATGTGGAGAAAGTTCATTGACACATTTGTACATCATAATAGCCTCTCTTAGTAGTAATTGTTCCTTTACTGGGAGCCAGTTAAGTTCGCGTAAGCCCGGCGAAATATGGTCGAACTTTCCAATATTTGTTATTATCCTGCATGCAAAATTTTGTACCAACTGTAGTTCCTTAATGTTGGTAGACGAAGTGTTTGACCAAACCGTTGAACAATAGAACATTTTGTTCATTACAAGTGCCGAGACGATGAGAGTTAAAGCTTCTTTATCGAAACATTTTTTGACTCGGTTTATTTGGCACAGGGAATTCATACATGAGGAAACCAGGTTGGTGATGTGCTGGTCATACGTCAAATAAGAGTCGATTGTCATTCCTAGATCTTTGGCAAAGGAGACGGGGGTAATAGTCTCGTTGAGGAAGTTTATGGTCATATCTACGGGAAGTTGTTGTAGGTTTTGCCGTGTGCCAATCAGCATATATTTGGTCTTTCCCGGGTTAATAAGCAATTCATTTTCGGAACAACTGTTTGCAATCAAATACAAGTCTTCCTCAAGTTGTTGCTTTAAACAGTCCACGTTAGCCACAGTGAAAGATAGTAATATCTTAGAGTCGTCCACGTACGATTCAAGTTTACTATGGTGCACTGATGAGGGCAGATCGTTAGTATAAATACTAAAAAGTAAAGGTGATAAAATTGCACCCTGTGGTACGCCATAAGAAACAGGGAGAGGAGTAGACACAGTTGATCCAATTCTGACTGATTGAGTTCTTCCGGTCAAGTAACTCTCAAACCATTTTACAACGCTTGGAGAAGCCCCGACGTTGCTAAGTTTTGTAAGGAGAAAAGTATGATTTACACTGTCAAAAGCTTTAGATAGATCTATTAGAATCAGTGCAGTAAACAATTTCCCATCCATGGCCTTTAGGATAGTATCTCCGGTCAAAAGATTCAATGTTTCGCATGAGTGATGTTTCTTGTTCCCGCTCTGGTGGGTTGACAATTTTTTGTTCTTCATTAGATACGAACCAAATTGATTCAAGGCGACTTTTTCACAAATTTTCGAAAGAAAGGTAAGGAGAGAAAGTGGGCGGTTATTTGATGCTTCCTCGTGGTTTCCATCCTTTAACAAAGGGATAACTTCTGCCTCTTTCCATGCTATAGGGAACGAAGATGACGACAGTGAACAGTCTACCAAACCATAAAAGCTTTGGCTATTCTGAGGTGCTTATATGGTTCAGAGATGGTACTTTTGGGGGTGGTCATTGGTAAGTGTGAAATGCCAAGCACTAATATTTCACAAGAAAATGGCCATGCAATAATCATAGTTAAACGTCAATTTGTGGCTTGCAAATTCAGATAAACAGCAGTGGACTTACATTACCTTTTTCCCTAAATCTTTTTGATAGAAACATAAATGGTACTTATTTAAATATAGTATCACTGGTTTGGTGTAAAATAGTTAATATTTTCTGACCGAAATAATAATTCGAAATGTGCCTACCTCCTGCAAATGGACGTATTTGGCCAAGTTCTCCACTTTACTCCGCTGTTTATCGGCGATCTCGTCGACATCCTACAAAAAATGTAAATCATCTCAGACATAATGGTATCAAGAACATTTTAAACAAGTTTCAACTTGGTTTCAAGTAGATCATACCTGTTTAACCATCGATAAGGTAAATCCACAACTTTGTCCAAATTCGGCGCCATTTTGTCATCCCATGTCGCTTGTTAACAATTCAGCCTTGTTACTCTTCCATCCAAGCCATTTCCATTCCACTAATAATAAATTTAACCCTTTATAACAGGAGGAAACTAAAAATCTAAACAAAATATAAGAAATACGCCATTTTATCACCATGTAAAATTTTGCTCACGAGTCTTTCAAAACATTCCGTACAAATCTCGCGTGGTTTAGCAACAGGGACGTGACAGGGGGGGTAGAGACTTGAAAAATGAAAGGAAAGCCCACACACTATGGTAAAACCAACAATCAACATTTAATTTGTATGACTTTTTCATATTAATAAA